TGCGTTGGAATGTCAAGGTAAAATACGAGCTGACACCAGTTCACACGCAGTGTGACGTTGTGGCGCTTCACTTGTTCTCATTCCATCTTTTTCAATTATCACACCGATGACATTGACATAGATATCCCTTTCGTTTCGTAAGTTACTACCTTAAACCTTCCTTTTTGGATTCCTCGTTTGTCCTGTATTAAGTATATTCTTACGATTTTTGACCCCTTCTTTACAAGGGAGAGGACGGCAAAAGATCGAGTCAAACTTTTCATCATTTGATCGGCAACTTCCAATTATGGGATTGCAAAAACGCGACTATAAAAGACGCAAAGTGATTGGCGTGCTTTTGACTACAAACCACCATGACCGACTGCGATCGTTGCGACGAATACTTTAGCAGCTGGCGTGGATACCGCCACCACGTCGCCATCTCTCCTCGTCACAATATTTGCGATGACTGTCAGCTGGACTTTTCCTCCTGGCGCCGTCTCAAAGAACACTGGGTTCAAAGCCCCAAGCATGACTACTGCCAGTATTGCGATGAGCATTTCGACGATATCTACGACCATCACGAACATAATAGGGACGAGCATCATTGGTGCGAATCGTGCAACAAGTTTTTTGAGAATGAGCGTGGCCTCGAGGAACACTATCGCCAATCTTCCAAGCATTTCTTCTGTACGCCCTGTAAACGCCATTTTAAATCTGCTGCGAATCTTCAATCCGTATGTTTGCTTTGATTTTCTACCTTTGTTCCTTTCATTGATTAAGGCGTTACATAGCACCTCAACTCCTCGGTTCACCTCCCGCGCAACTTCAAATGCCGTGCTGGCTGCAAACAAACCTTCATATCTAACTCCGCTATGCTTCTTCATCTCGAATCTGGCCATTGCCCTTCTGGCGCTACGCGTCAACTTATCAATGCCCGAGTCCGCGAATGGGACACCAACAACATCATTACCGATCCCTCGCGTATGCTCACTGGCGGCACTTCATCGTCTCACGGTCAGAGCAACACAACTTATTACGCCACAGCCGCATCATGGAACGGTAGCGCCTACGAATGTTACTTCTGTCATGCTACATTTCGCACGCTTGCATCTCTCAACACCCACCTCGCAAGCCCAAAGCATCAGGATAAGATCTATGTTTGCCCCAATAGGGAGTGTAGGATTCGGTTCGCGACGCTGAGTGGATTGTGTCAGCACATTGAGAGCGGAAGTTGTGGAGTGAAGAGGTTTACTGCGGTACAAAATGCGCTAGATGGGATCGTCGGCGCTATGGGGAGGTTGACGATGTGATCGTTTAACATGATCACTTTGTATTGCAGGAAATAGCGCGAACCGTTTCGACCTTACGCTTTCTTTGCTATGTAATGTTTCATCTCGCACGCAATGACGTTCAGCAACTTTTTGGCAGGATTGTTTCTACAATGACTGTATTTCTTTGGACTGTACATTTACCTTTACCTGCATGGAATTCGCATGTTTCGATATCTTTCTTAGCTTGTGATCATTCAAGATCTTTAGTGTCAATGTTATCGGCCTTTAGAGTGGATGTAATAAATAACACTCTCAGTTGTTAACATGTCCTCCTTAGCTCAGTGGTAGAGCGCGTCACTTGTATAGTGCAGGCATGACGAGGTCAGTCGTTCAATCCGGCTAGGTGGAATTTTTGAGGTTCCCAACGCTTTTTTGCCCTTTCATTTTTTGAAGGAAAGATCTTGCAGGGCATAACCATTTTTTCACATGTAGACAAGTCGAATGATAGCCCAAAACGAAGTG